CTCTCTCCTCCTCCTCCTCCTCCTCCTCTCTCTCTCTCTCTCTCTCTCTCTCTCTCTCTCTCTCTCTCTCTCTCTCTCTCTCTCTCTCTCTCTCTCTCTCTCTCTCTGTCTCTACCTCTGTTTCTCTCTCTTTCTCCCCCTAATTCCCTCATCCTAGAGAACCGAACGCAACTACTACACTCGGGACGTTCGTCGGTCGAGCATAAAAGGCCGCTTTTCTGAATTCAGCTACCGTGGAAGCAACGACCGTGTTACGTATGTAGTTGATAAATACTATGCTTTCTGCGATTGCCACGTTTTTTCCTAAAGTCGAACGTGTGTCGTCGAGTACGTAGCAGTACGTCTCGAGACCAACTGTGAGAATCTTTTTTGCTTTGTTACGGGTAAAGGTAATTTATTTTTTGTTATCGGCCAAAATTAATTAACGTGTAAATAGAGTACGAGTATTTTTTTTTTTTGCAACCGAGTATAAATACTTCGTGTGCATCTTTTTTCTTTTTTTTTTTTTTTTTTTTACAACGTTATGATTACATCGTAATTGATAAAAATTTATAGAAAAAAATAACAAATGCTCGTGATCTCGTTTAAAGAGAAGACATACTGGATATGGTATATCCGAGCCGCATTCAAAATTAGAAAGTTATTTAAAACGGGAACGTTTGTGCATTTGGTTCAGTGCACAAGAATCTTCACACAGACTCGAATAGAAATGATTCTTAAAGTTAAATTTGCAATTCGTGATTTCTATATGAATCGCTTGATATGTATCAATAAAAAAGAGAATGCATTTACTGGATATACTTGAAAGCTACAGACAGAATATATATTTTTCGCAAACTTTCTTTTTAATAGAAATCATGATGGCATTTTACTGCGCATTGAAGAAAAAAAAAAAAATAGTTGTAAGCTTTCGAGTAATATCATCACGAACGGAATGACAACTATGCAGTATGTCTCATAAATCAACGTGAAAATCGTGTCACGCGTAAATAAGTTCAATTTTTATAACGCTAGACTTTTAATTAATAATTATTATTCTTTTTGCAAAGGAAGTACGTTAGATTTTAACTTAATGATATAGTAAATTAAAAAAGGAAAAAAAAAACTCTAGATGAAAATTGAAAAAAAAAATTCCATCATTTAAAAGATTATATTTGCAAAATTTTTGAATTTGCAAATATCGAGGAAATTTCGTAGATAAATTATAGAAATCTAATAAGATGAAAAAAATTTTCGCTATAGAATCGTGTTTCGATCATGGCGCAAACACTTGCGTATTCGACACTGGCCGATTGCCACGCGCTCGACGAAACACTAAAATATCTTCTCGGCCAAAGTCGCAAAGGCCAGAGATTTAGAAAACACGAGACGATGCCTGGTTTTGCTCATAGACCGTGAAAAATGATTTTTTAGAAAAAGAACTTTTTTTTAAACACGCATCAAACGATACCATCGTTTATCAATTGATCAAATTTCTCTTGCAACGCGAAATTGCTGAACGAAATCTCAGCAATGCACAAAATTAGATGTAGCGTTGAATTATTTACATCCCGTAACGAAGCACTTGTTGAAACATAATTGACAATGATCGTACGTACGCTCCTGAAAAATATATAAGCTTCTAATACTCCGAATCATGCAAATTTATTTTGCTACTATTCTTAAAATAATATGCTCATCGGAAAAGAACGAAAAAAAAAATGAAAAAAAAGAATCGTACATAGTTCCCCTGCTCGTTTACGCCAGACGACTGTAATCACCTGCACAAGTTTCCAGGCCTTCTGTTAAAGAGAAATCGTCGGAGCCGACGTCGAGGTTTATTAATAAACGTTGTGGTACACGTGCCCGTCGTCGTGTACCCCCTTTGTCGCGACGAGACCGCTGCAACGGGGGTGAAAGAGGAGCGACAGGAGGAGAATAAGCAGATCGTTTTACGAACACGCAAGATGGCCTCGTCGAAATATTTGGCCATCGAATAAACAATATTTTTTGAACATATTTTATAATTCTTTAGCACATTTAATATACTTTGTTAAAATGACATTATAATATGAAAATATCCAACATATATATCGCAAAAATCGATTTACGTATATTCCTTTAAAACACTATATAATATATATTGCGAGACAAGCTTTTGTATTTGCAACAATTGTTATTGGAAAAAATAAGCAAACAATAACGAGTAAACAATTGCGTCATAATATTTGCAAAAAGGCATTGAATCGTAATTGTGCAATGTAATGCGAACTTAGTGACTACCTAATTATATCTCGTCGAAGCGCTAGAATATCGAATATGTTAGAACATACGATTAGGTAATGTAAAACAAAATATTCGTAAAATAATATTCGTAATATACGAAACAAAAAAAAATAGAATTTCTAATACGCACCTCTAATTTTTTGAAGCACTGTCCTCTTCCGATGCACTGAACTTGTTTCTTTAATCCCAAACACACCAATAAAAAGAGATTCACACCAACAATACGGATATCCTTCTAACAGTAAAAATAATCTATTGACCGATAAAACCGAAATTACAAAATTTAACGGTTGCACACGTTCAACAGTCGTTCGCGTTACGAAGAAATTTTATTCATTAATACTAGATTGGAGTAGGTATTCCCTGAGACCTGAGACGATTTACAACGATAATTATTAACGCGAACACTGTTGATGACACGTACGTGGTAACGGACGGTGTCCTTTACAATTGGCGATATTTTCATACGCGCACACATCCGACACGAACGAAGGCCCACGTGCGAGTACCGAACTGCCTTTAAGTTTGCGGTTACCGTGCTGCGCGCCAGTTCGCCGGGTTCTTCGACGATTTCTCTTTTCATTGGTCTACTCGACTCCCCACTATTCCATTTTACCAGTAGCGTAGCGTAACGACGACCGAACGAGGCACGGATGAGATGCAAAAAGTAGGATCGACTAGTGACGACGTGTTGACAAATCTTTCGTCATTTTACCTCGCGGATTTTAAATATTGATTACACGTTTATTTTTTTAGATTATCTTCAAACAAAATATAAACGATCTTATTTATTTATCTTCGAATAATAATATATATATATATATTATATGTATTTATATTCTTTCTAATATTTTCGTTTCTATAAAAAAGAAAAAGAATAAAATAAGGTAATATTCATTTTCATTATTAGTAATTATTCATTTATTATTAAGATGTAACGTTAATAAAGCGACAATCGTTTATTCCCTCTTCGAAATTTATGACACCATCATTCATTCTGTTATAATAGGTAGGAAAGCAAACAAAAGACAATGTCTATTAACTTTTATACGTACCACCATAACCGTTTCTCGTGATATATTTCTTTTTCGCATCTGAGTTATTTATTTCTAATAATTTCGAGGGCCACAAAGATGTAACACAGAGACCGATAGTGTCACATTTTCGACAGACATTTGGAAGCGTTCGATCCTGCAGGATCCACGAGGCAAGGCGGTGGTCCGTCGAGAAGTATCAGCTGTTCGAATTATTATCGTTGCAGGCGACGGCAGATGTTCACTAGGCTAAAACGCTCCCCCGAAGGCTTTGAACCCGCTGATCTCTTTTCTTTAGAGCGAGTGAAAAACTTTCAAGGAAGCCCAACGTCTCGTCGAATCTCTCACAATGCCTCGTTTCCACAAGCGTGTGGAAACTAACCTAAAAACTAGTGAAAACAATACGGTAACGACAAGGAATTAAAAAATCCATATCTTTTATATATTTTTACGATACAAATCGTCAAATATTTTCAATTATTTGCCGTGATAACATATTTTTAACTTAATTTTCACAGGTATGTGTATTTTCGTTTTCATTTTCGTGTCGAAAATTATCTCTTCGAACGTATGTAAGATGTCGTGTCACGTAGACACTTTCAAACGATCTCGTTGACAATCGTGGTGAAGATAACTCTTGGATTCTTCGACAATCGGTTCAGAACCTTCGTTTCGCAGCATTGTTCGAAACCTGCCGTAAGTTACGTGTCACGAAGTATAGGATATCATCGTCGTCTGCGTTTGAAGGAGACCCCATAGGTTCGTGGCACGCGCTGCCAGCTGCCCCACAGCTGTCTCTCTTCTCCTGTCGTCCCCCATACACGAGGCCCGGGGTTCTTACCCGAGCGTAGTGCATTTACCACACAGAACGGGGGCCATTTCGCCTCTGTGTATGCATGCGCACCGAATTCAAAACGCGTGTATTTCGTGGGTACGTACCTACGTATCCACGCACCGTTGTCACGTAGTTGCATACTCGATGAGGTTGGTGCACCCTTGAAGGAACGTCGAGGAACACGAAAAGATGAACCGGCACTTTTATTGTCTACTCCACTGGAGGACATCTCCCTTTGACAAATTTTCAAATGCTTCTAATATTTCACCTCTCAATGGAACACCTTTGAACTTTTGTTTAAACGCCTTGTAACCCGTTATTCCTCTTGATCTTGATCTTGTGGGAATCTCAAAGAAAGAAGTTTCTTCTTCTTCTTTTTTTCTTCAATTTTTCAGATCGAATGGAATGGAGGAAGGTAAAAATTTTCAAAATTAATTCGTTCGTTTTTTCTTTCTCTTTTTATCTATTCGGTAGCGATATTTGCTTATCGTTAAAACATTCTATAGGGTTTTGCATTTGCGGTTTCCCATCCGGCCCGCCCGACACGCAGGAAATAGTCCTGAAGTGTCCTAGAGGATGCAAGGCTATTAGGTTTCGCGTGGAAAAAAGCGTGAGCGACGTAGAAAAAGGCGGAGGAAACGGGAGCGACAGCGAGAGGAGATGGAGAGGGCGTAAGTGCTCGTACCGAGAGTAGAAAAGAAAAGAAAAGAAAAGAAAAAAGAAAAGGAAAAGGGAAAATCAAAGTACGCGCGATGGAGACCGGAAATCCCAGGCCGTTCAACCCTGACACCCGGTATATATTTAGACTTAAAGAGACATACTCTAATCTGATCGTATAGATACCTTCGCGACATTCTATTGGACGCTGGTACACGGGCGAGACTTTTGAAAGCTTGAAAAACAGTATATTTGATATAATAAAGTGAAACGAAACTGGTGTTGAAATTTGAAAAATCGAATAAATTGGACGTGCTTTTTGAAAAACTCGCGGATTGATACAATAAATAATCTACGCCGTTTCCGAAGAAAACTATGCCCATTAGCACGTTGTCGTGATAATATCGACAACTCTCTTACCCCTCCTCAAAAAAAGAGTTAACGCTTCCGTGAAGGAAGTTGATCGTTTCCTATTTGCTTATTGCATAATCGCGCACGCAATGTTGTACCGGTGTATATATATATATATATATATATATTGAGGTATACTCTGTACCCCCCCTACCCATACGTCACGTTTCAAAATAACCAAGTAACCTATAACTTTTACACGTTTTAAAACATTTGTTGTTGTTGTTGTATATGATTTTACGAGTACAATATTCTGACGATATAAATAACGATTGCGATATTGTTAAAAATTATTTTTGCTTCTTCACTCGATATATATATGTATATATTTAAATTTATTTGGATAAAAAGTTGGATTGAAATTTATATTAGAAATTGATTCGAAGTGTGAAATAGTTTAACGATAAACGTTGAAAAATAAATGAATCGCGCTTTTGATCGAGTTTGGTTAAACGAATAAGACAGAGATCAAAAGGATGGACAAATTTTCTTTGTGAAAAACCATTCGTTAAAGCTGCAAAGTATTCGCGTCTTTAGAAACACAATACCAGCAGTGACGGCCTTCTCGAAATAGACGAGAAGCCCAGCCCTCCAAACTCGTCCGAAAATAAAACAGGTTTCTTCCCTGCGAACCACGTTGTCCGATTGGTAGACTCTGATGGAAGAGTTCGCTGATTAATCGACAATTTAAGAAAAAAAAGAAAAGGAATATTGTGTATTACAATTTACGAGCCGTTATTGTCAAATTTTTTTTTATCGAAAGATAATTTTCAAATCTCTGTTTTTCTTTTTTTTTTTTTCTTGATATAGACAATAATAAGGGAAAATGTTGTGAAACAACTGTAGAATCCTTGAACAATTGTTCAAACAATCTGTGGTTTATAAAACTTATCATCAAGAGATACATTGTTTTTATTTATAGGTTATACAATAACAAAGATATGTATTATGAGATTTTATTTTATAAGCTAGGCCAATTACTTTGAATTTTATCGCTTAACATTTATTCGTTGCAGTATTTACATTGTGTAAATATATCACTTTAAAAGGGGGAAAAGTAGAAATAATTTGACGATTGAATTTATTAAGGGAAAGAGGTTACTTTATAAAATAAGCAATATTTTATTTAGTTGAAACTTAAAATGTATACAAAATTCGAAAAAAGTAGCTTTCACTAGAAATACTTTTAGACAATTATAAAATTCATTTTACCTTATGCTATAATTAATCTATCTTTTCCTTACGTTGATAAAAAAAACAACTGCAATCTTTATAATATATACTTTTAACGTCAAGACTTTTACCAAAATGTAAAAAGTATAGTTAACTTAAAAACTAAAAACTATAATTTTACGATAAAAATGAAAAAATTAAATTTACCAGTGAAAAATATTAATAAAATTGATAAGATTATAAAAGTCGTATGATTATATTAGTAATTATATTCGTCATCGTGGGCATACAAATTGGGATAAAACTTTTTCCTATGCCTTTCGTTCAAAACAATTAACTCCATGATACTTGGCCCATCCTCGTTTAAAAATGCATCCCAATTAATTTTCCCATTATCCACGCGTCTTAAACGATCGTCGTCTAGATCGTTGTCGTAATCGTGTTCGTCAGTTTTATTCGACGCACGGCTCTCTATCAAGAGGCGTCCCAACACATTCGCCTTTTTCTGTAATTTCGTTGCTACACTTCTCTTCACCTTAAAATAATTGTCGCGCGTTTCCTTTTTAATCAAGCGGGACAATATTTTCCCCACTTTCGCGGAATCGGGCAACGCGTTGAAAGAAGACGTAGAAATTTCTCGACGGCATAATTGTGAATTCAAATTGTCCCCGTGTAGAATCACGTTCTTATTTTTATATCGTTTCCCATCCTTCTCTTCCTTGTATCCACCTTCTCTTGTTCCCTCGTTCGACGTCATTAAATTGTCGTTAGAGTTTTCTAACGACACCGGAGAAAGTGTCGTTAATTCCGGCAACCCATTGGAAATATAATTATTTATCGATGGATATACTTCCAGAAAGATAAATAATAATTATTAATATTAATGAAAATTTTCACTGTGTTTGTTGTAATTAAATCAATTTTATAATGACATAGAAAAATCATTCATTATAATAATTATGCGATTATGCATCGAAAATGTACTCACTTGCTGAATTATGATAATTATATGCAATTATACAAAGTAATATAAGGAATACCACAATTGCTTTCCAATACATATTGCTAATGTTTTATAAACTGTTCTTCTCTGAAAAACACGAAAGTCAATGTTCTGCCAATAAGATTCCGCCAACTGATCCGATCAAACGATTCGTAATTATTGTATCGTCCTTATCCCAACATTATAAACAATGTTGCCAGAAGAACATAATTATTTACATTCGACTTGTATTATAGAGTATATCCAGTATAAGATTACGAACGAACTACGAATCTAAATCGATTAGGTTAGTACGATGCCGTTACTCTTAACCTAATATTTTTTCTTTTTAAAAAAATCATTTCACTAAAATTGGTTTGTCAGTAAAAAAAAAAATTTGATTTATTGATTAAATCATGAGTATACTTTACATTCTTTTTATAATAATTATTACATGTTAATATATATCGATACATTTTACATTGCACGTTACAGCGACACTACAAGATGTATTACTACACTATAGGTTTGAAATCATTGTTGGCGAATGGTGGTACGTTGTCAGGAGTATACAAAAATCTTTTGAAGTCGTTCGAATGGTATTCGGGAATTTGTTGATGAAATTGATAAGGATCGACAGGATAATAATTATTGTATGTTTCATCCGGATAAAAGTTTACGGGTTTGTTGTACGAGGGCAAATCATAATTGATATGCTCGTAAGCGTGATAATTAGAATAGTCGTACGTTTTCGTAGTGAAATCGATATGGTATATGTCTTGTGGATATCCGCCATAATAAAAGTGTGGAGTTGTTTGAGTCGAATTGTCGGTATGAGTCATATTTCCAGACGTTGTGTTACTTGTTGTTGTGTTCGCGGCTCGTAGTCCTATTATTGAAGAATTATCTTTGACGATATTTTTCAACGCGTTACTCTGCTTCGCGTTAACTTCTTTCTGCGTGTTACATAACAAGTTTGAAATAGGAAACTGTTAATAAGAAACGAATTTTGTATAATGCTTTTGTATTAATGCTTTTGTAATTAATGTTAAATTCGTAATTGTAAAATATTTAATGCACCTTACCTTGCCTTCTTCGTTCTGATCCTCCTCCACTTGGATATCAGTATTTTTGTCGATGCTGTTTGACGTTTTGATATTTTCAATTTTTTGTGCCTCCTCCCCATATTCGTCCTTCAATTGATCGATCACTTTGTTGTCCAACAGATTTAACGAACTCGGTTGAACGGCGTTTTGTAATCCATTAATCGATTGTAATCTTAATAAATCCAATAAAGGATAAAATCCTACAGGAGTGGCAAATATATAAGGATATGAGACGTAAGGATAAGGATTATAGATCGCAGCAACAGGAGATGATATTCGAGACGTATCGACATTCAACGATGGAAGCTTAGCATAAGTTTTTACGTCGGTCGACGCTGCGTTCGTCAAATTGGCGACATTTAAACCGGCTAGGAAAGCCAAACTTCTTAATATTTTCGATTTTCTATTCGAAGAGTCAACTTCTGTCTTCATATTTCTTTCGAATCCTTCTAATTTAGTCGAATTCTGTTTCGAGTATAGAATATCTGTCAAAGAGATTTTTTTCTCGGGTATTTGTACGTTGTCGCTATTCGTAGCGGTTGCTCGTAACGATCTGTGAATTATTTTCGAACGTTCTGTCGTTGCACTAACTTTATGATATGCTCCTAGATGGACAATAATAATTAACGATACAATGATCGAAATCGTAAAAGATAAAGTTTATTTTTTTATTAATACTTTTATAATATTACTTACTGGTACAAATAATACCGAGAGTTAAAAGCACAAAGATCGAGAAATTCATTGTTACTGTACGATGCTTCGAACAAGAATGAAAAAAAAATTAAAGTTATTTGACAAAATTCGAAACCTGCGGGTTACCCTCATCCTTTATCTTGTGAAAGTATACTCTTTTTAAATATATTCGAAAATATGTTAATTGCGTTAATCTAAACTTCCTCATTAAAATATGTGGGTTTCTGTTATACGATTTATATTAATATTATGCGATATTTTAACGTTAATATTATAATATTATATTATAAGTATAAAAATGTTAAATATTAAATTTATTGATTTTAAAATTTTAATTACGTGTAAATATGTTGCAAATATTAATTCAAAGAATACTATATCCAACTGTAACATAAAATAACAATATTTTAATTTTTAAATTTGGCGGGCATTACAGCGACACTTCGCTTCATTGTGTTGTTAGTTCCGCCATGGAAGTTCTTTACGAGTCAGCAAATTTTTTGACAAAATGACTAGTTCAGCTGAAGTAATTGAAGATAATTCACAATTGAAGGAAAATGAAACTAATATGGATTTTGCAACTTCTGAAAAACAAGAAGCACGTGCATTTTTACGTGAACGATTTCTACGTGTAATTACTGGAATTGTTGGTATGGAATATTTTATGTTTTCAAACCTATTTCTTCTATCTCAAAACAAAAATATGAAAATATTTATATATTTTTACAAATGTATAATTCTGTATAAATTTTTATGATAATAACTTATACAGGAAGTTAGAGTAATATGAAATTATTCAAACGTGGCGCCAATATCAGAAACACTTAACCTAATACGGAAGTATAGTATATCATAAATTATCATTAAATATAATAATATCATTAATATTATGAATAAAATAACTTGAAATAGAAATAGAAATATGAAATGGAAAGAAATTATTTGTTACAGGCAAACAAGCAGATTTTTATTTATACGAAAATACGCGGGTTTCTGCCGAGTTTAGAGGTTGTGATGTAGAATGCTTGGAAGTATATACACGGAACTTGGAAACACCATTGGGCAAGATTCCAGAAGCTGTTCTAAGAACAAGTGACATTATTTATATGGATATGAATGACATTAATGTAGCACAATAAATTTTCAAAATACAGGTATGTAAATAATATTAACATTCTTATATTACATAGCAAAGAATACTTTTATTTTTCAACACAGTTTTTTTAATAACTTATATAAATATTTATTTACATTTTATAGTTCAAGATCGACGCATATTTAACATAGTGTTTATTTCTGAAATAATGCGTCTTAAGTGATCAATAATTTCTTTAAGATGCCTATTTTTTAACACCACTTGCTGAAAAAATTAAATATAATATTACTAATTTGATGAAAAAAATGTTTGCTTTTTATTTTTTATATTAAAGCCTAAACTCACTTCCATAATTTCTTTACTTTCTTCACATGCTAATCTATAAGCTTCAGATGTTTTTTTCTCATCAGATTTCATATCCCATTCTTCCTTTAAAGGGATTAAACTTTCTATATGTGTATATTCCATACCTTGAAGTTGGCAGTTTTCATTACATTTTTCATAAATCAGTCTCAAACGTTTAAATAATAATTTAAGAGTTCTTAATTGTTCCTGTACTTTATTCTTCCTTTCATTAGCTAAATTTGCTCCTTGTGCTGTGCCTAAAATTATAATATATATATATATATATAATACAATTGAATATGCATTACAAATAATTAAAATTTAATAACTTTAAAATACCAGTTGGGGGTTGAAGAAGTCTTAATGTTTGAAAAACTTCCAAAGTGCGGCTGACAATATCTTGTACAGTTTCTTGACCAAATCTGCATAAACTGGCAGTGTTGAATTCCTTATTTTGTTGTTGTTGCTGAGGTGGTGGTTGAGTAGGTGGTACAGGAGTTTGAGGTGTCGTAGCTTGGTTGCCTGTTGGATTACTTTGTTGCACCATTGCAGCTTGCTGTTGTTGTTGTAATTGCAATTGTTGTTGTTGCATCTGTTGTACTTGTTGTTGCATTGCAACAGATTGTTGTTGTTGTTGTTGCTGTGCTAATACTTGTTGAGCACTAGGTATACCCATAGCATTGGATCCAACTCCACCTACACCTACTCCTACTCCTACACCAACTCCAAATTGCTGCGGATTTACCATACCTACGTCAAAGAATTTTTTGAATATTACACTGTATTTTTTTAAAATTTATCCGTTTAATATTTTGTCTTAATCGATTTGTACTTACCACCTTGTTGAGGCCCCATTAATCCAGATACCATTTGACCTCCACCAAATTGTGTTCTCATTGCAGATTGTTGTACATTAGGAAATCCAGATGGAAATGGATGTTGTTGACCAGCCATTGTATTTCAATTTTGTCACAACTTTATATTTTTGAATATGTAAGATAGAAAAAAATTAATAGTTAGAAAATTTTTAGGTTAGGTGCTCTTTTACTATGATATTTTGATTGTGTAGGTTTTTTACAGCTTTAAATTATAATTTTATTAAAAAATTTAATTTTTACTTTAGTTTTTTTTGTTTTTAAGTAAAGAGACAGTAATAATTAAAATAACAATAAACGTTACAAGTAATATTAATTTTCGAAATTGCTAGTTTTTATTAAAATACAACTACATTCCTTACTTAATAAGGAATATTAAAAAATCACGCCATCAATACAGGAATAATAATAAAATATGCACATTTCTTCTAATATGTGCAACGTAAAAGGCACGATTTACATTATACACACGCGTTGTTGACATCACATTGCGCACTTTTAGCGCGCACACAGTTGCCGGAGCGTGGTACCTTATCCCCTCTACCATTGGAAAATGGCTCAATTCCCCAGCGGCGAATTTTTGCGGTAGGGGAATACGTGACGTCACCAGGCATCCGCCAAAGCCAACCGTCCCATCATGTCACATGACATGCCTCTGCCTAATGTAGCAATCGCAGTGGGGATAACGTGACGTCACGTATTCTCCTCCTGCGGAAATCGAGGGGAATTGAGCCACTTTTAGTGATAGAGGGAGTAGCGCACTCATCCGTGGCAATTGTGATTGCGTACATAAATGTCAATGATCATAACGCGTTCTATTTTTATTATACTTTTAAAAAAATTTATATCTCTAAATTTTTATTTTTATTTCGACGTATAATATTAAAACGTTACAAATTTTAAAATCACAAATTCATAAATATAAAATGTAATATATAAATAAATTTTTCTTTATTTTATCAAAAATCATAATATCAATCCTTTAAAGTATTGTTGATATGAAATTATTTGTACAAAAAACGGATAAACGTATATATTAAAATACAGGATAGAAATAAATTCAAATTTTAAATTTATTAATAATAATAATAATTATAATAATAATAATAATACTTTTTACATTTTGCTCGTGTTTATAATATATTTGTTCTTCGCGTAGATAAAAAAAAATTGTGTAAATAATATAATCACGCAAGATATTTTCACATCGGGCACAAAGAGCATTGGTAAGAGGGGATCGAAGGCGGATATATCCTTTGGAATGGAGGATCAAAGTCGACGTTCTTCTCGAAGATTCTTCGAAAGAGATAGAACCAAATTTTCTGGTATTCGAACAATGTCCAAACAGGAGATAAGGTCAGCGCACACGAAATGAACACGGTAGACATAACGGCCCAATCTTCAGTCCCCATGCACCTTGCTGGCTTTTGCGTTCACATTGTTTTTCTGGCACAGTCGGTGTCTATCCTGTCGAGGTTACTGGACGCTTTGAGATACGTGAACGAAAAATAAGAGTGGAAAGTTCTTCGTCCTCGTTAAAATGTCCCGTAAATCATTGTTCTTTATTGTGCTGTTATTCAGTTTTACGCTACGTGGTGAAGGCAAGTCGATCGAAAATCAAAATTTTCAGTCAAATGTTAAAAACGATGGTTCCGAGACTCAAGGCGAACCTTTAACAGAAAACTTTAAAATTGTAAAAAATGAATATCCAAGTGGGAAAATAACAAACCATAATAATCGTGTTGAAAATTCTAACGAAAGAAAATCTAAATCCTTAAGTGAAAATAATCGAGTATGCCCTTACGAGAACAAAAAGTTATGCCTAATTTTTTCTTTGTCGAAGATTGCCAAAGTTCAAGTGGCTGCGTCAAGCAAAGCTTCCACCTCGAGATCAAATAACTTTGATAACCCTGCGCCGAAAGATGTGAGGAATTTGAAAATTAATAAGGAGACGAGGCAAAAGGAGGGATTCGATTTTGGAAATGAAGATTTACAGAATTTTTCGATGGAGCAGGGAAAATCGTCGATCGTTCACTGCAGAGCAATTCGTGATGTTTACATACCAGAGGTGAAACGGAACTTACCAGCTGTGGCGTGTAAATTTGGCAACAATACTTTCGTTTTATCAAGCGAGAGATTTCTCGACGATCGACGATTATATCTGGATATAAGAATCGACGAGAATGTATTTGAAAATATAAAGCATAATGCCTCGAAAATGTCCAGAAGCAACGAATCGAACGTGATACCTGCTTTGCTTGTTTTAAACACGGCTAATAATAATTACAGGATAGAAACCCATAAAATTACGTCCGGCGAAGAAGTTAACAAGACGGAGGGAAATCGGTAACAAATTATCGAGCGAGTAATGTTCAAGTACCCGGTGGTAATTTTCAATTATCTTCCGTTAAGTAAATAACGCATGTATAAATTACGATAACTGTGCGTCTTTGAGATAGTTGGAACAAAAAAAAAAATAAATAAATAAACTATCTTCTATAAGTATAATTCGAATACAACATTTAATTCGAATATTGTTATATTATTTTATTTATCCTATCTTTGAAATATTTTATTTTATTTGAGCACGATACGCATCACATGATTCACGTTAATCAACAATATAATATATAATATACATATAAATTCAAATTTGTAACAGTTGATAATAAAAACAATTAAAATCCGTTAGAAATATTTTATCACAAAATTTCTACGCTATACTCGTTTTGCTATAAATAAATCTCACTATGAATAGTGTTTAATTTTGAATCTCTCTTCTGAATATTCATTTTCCGCTCGTTGCTTTTTCCAGTGGCAGTAAAGTGATTGCTGCGAAGGTGATCTTGCTTAGAAAGAAAAAAAGAAAATTTTTTTCCTCGGGCAAACTCAGAAATTGAATCCTCCATTCAAGGTCAAGAGTCAGAAGTGCTATCCTCGACACGACGTTCATCTTCGTAAATATCAGATTGAATTGATTCTTGAGCGATCATTTGATCGACATTTGTGTTCGAGGTAAAAGTTTGATCGTTTTTGTAACGATATTTATCCATAGACGATTCGGCGAGATGGAAATTCGAATCGTGTATATTATTTGGACTCTTTACTCTGTCTCCTTTAACTCTGTCGCTTTTATCTCTCTCTTCAACATTTTTCCCTTCCTCGATTAATGGATCGACCTTAAAAAATAAAATATTTGAGGTGGTTAATTCTTTTTTTCGAGTTTGTCTCTCAAGTTGTATTGTTGGAAGTTATTAATGCGTCTATTAATATATCATGATACGATATAAGTAATGATATAAGGAACAGGCAATTTAATGACTCATTGATTTCTCCCTCAGATTGTCTCTATTATGCGTGGCGACAGGTGAGAACACAGGACGTAAAGGCAATTTATTAACTGCCGTGCATTTGAATTGACGTTAATACCTTTTTTGCATACTGCATCAACCACTATTGATGCGCATATTACTAACATGAAGCAAGTGTCCACTTTTGACAACGAAAACTAGTTGGATAGCTAATCAGCGTTTCATTGTTTTCCAATAATGAGATAGAAAAGAATAGAATAAATTTCATACTTTCCACGTTTCTTGAACCTCTCTGATCACATTGGCTGCAGATTTTCTTTCCAAATCCTCCTCTGTTAATTTCTCATCGTTCTCGTCGTTAGCAAGATCTAGATCAAGTTTCTGCAACGGATCATTGAAAATTCATACTTTTTAAAATTATATATATATTTGTCGCGAAAGATAGAAAAGTTGTTAGAAACACCCACCTTATTCAAATTATTCATCGGCGAGTCAGCGTAGCGGGTACTCGATCCCTCGTGAAACGCCTCGGCTAACTTAGGATTTATCTCCTCGAGTGGTTGATTACCATACCTTATGTAAACCGGAATGTATCCCTGGATGGTAGGCAAAACTTGAAGCGGAAACGAATCTAGAATGAATTAGTATCGAATCAATAATAAAATTGAAATTATCGCGAGGCAAATTACAGATTTGGACACGGATGATAATTTATCATCATGTGCAACGCGACGACATTAGTCTTCTGTATGACAGAAAATATATATTCACGGCCGAACAATTTATTTTCCATAATTGCAAATCGATCCACCGTTGAGCATTAACGAGGCATTCTGCATAAGTACGTTTAATACGTGTATAAAATAATAAACCGGCAAATTACGATATAAATTTTATAAATCCACTATTATCGAGAAAAAAGTAATAATTTAACGTTTTTAAACGAAATGTTCAACACATTTGTATATATACGGATGTATATATATATATATATATTTATACATTTTCGTCGTATCACTACGACGATTTTCATTAATCGTGCAAGCTACTCGGTCACGAACGAACACAGCACAAAACAACTTTCCAACACTTGTCCCCAAGGCAGCAATGTGACAAACCGACAATGCGGATTTTGCATGGTGACGCCCGTGTTCGACGCGGGAATTTCAAAAATTCCTTCTACTCACGGACATAACTGATCGAGAGGGATAACAGAAACACAAGATCGCAGCAGATGGCCCTGGTATCGCGCATCATCTCGGCAGCCTGCATCTTTGAACGGTACTAAGCCCCTGTAGCACGGGGCACTCTCCTTTATATTCCGCGTTCCCCTCTACCCTTCGCTCTCTGCCACGTTCAGGCCCCTCGGGGTTAACGCCGTTCCGTTAATATCCAGGCAAAAAGTCAAATCTTCCTTTACTTTCGGCAATCGGGGCCCGTCCAAGCCTCTTTTCTAAGAAATTCACCGCTACAGAAATACAGAGCTTTGTATTTCGACCATCGCCTTGTCTCTCCATCCTTCTTTTTGCAACCGATAGAAACAAAGACGCGTTTTTGTTTTGTTTTGACGTGGAACTTGACGAGGAAAACGTTGGTGTTTTTTCTCTTTTTAACCTTCAATTTTCGCATCACATTCTATCTTTGAGAGAAACTTTTTAGGCTTTGTAATTCAACTCGCTTCTACCTTTCCATCCTTCTTTGTGCAAGAATTTTCGTTTCCTTTTTTTTAAAGGCGAGAAGACCGACGGAAACAGATGTGTTTGTTCTATACGTGACGTGTGAAATATTGGAGGAATAATCGTTGATTCGTTTTTTTTTTTTTTTATTGTGCCTAGAGAAACTTTTTGGCTTTGCGATTCAACCATTCTCTCTGTTCTTCTTTGTGCGAGGATTTCCTTCTCTTCTCGAAGGTGGAGGCCGATGTTTGCACAATGGGATTGATTTTTCCCTTTTTCGTTAATATCGTGAATTTGATATTTTGCATTATTCATTGATTTGTTATATCGAAACTTTCGCGATAAGATGAAAAGTAAAAGTAAAATTCGTGATTCTCGTTTTCTCGTGAAAAGTAGTACTGCAGGTTACTGGTGAAGTACAGATTTCGATCTGCTCGTCGCACACAGGTAATCGTATCCCGAGAGATCTTCGACCTTGAATCCTCTTCTTCCTGATCGTTGAAGTGAGTCCGACTCGAGGATCGATAGCGCGTGAATCTTACGAATCTTGTGAACGGTGATAAACTGCAATCGTTGAATTCATCTCTTTATTATTCAAAATTTTACGAAGTTGTTATAGTTGTTCGAAAATGTAATTTCAAATCTCTCAAAACGAAATTTATTAACAGATTATTACCTGACAGGTAAAGTTACTCGTAGCTTCGTTGTTTCTTGTTTTATTTTTTAATTTTTAATTTTTCTAATTTCAAATTTAGAGATTCGATACACTAATAAACTTGTAATTTTTAATTTTCCATTAAATTATTATACGTAGTATAAATAAATGATTTCTTACAAATGTATTAAAAGAATATATATTTTGAGAAACGTAATTGCAATTATGAATCATAACCGATAATTTAACGACATTGATTACGAAAAAACGATTGCAAATTTCTGTCTTATTCAACTTGGGAAATATTATACAATTTCTATATATATCTATATTTATTATTATAAATTATTAATTTGATAGGATGAGATTTTCTTCGATAAGAATCCTTATAAAAAATAATCCTAATAAGTAAAATGTCAAATGCTTTTTTTCTTTTTCAGATATTGATTATATTTTCCTCCTTTTTTTTCGTTTCGATAAAAATGATACATGATATGATTCTAAGAATTTTGATTTCAATGATGTTTTGTCGTGACGAATAAGCCATGGGGGAGAGGGGAGAATAATGTATGATCCTGAACGAAAGGTCAGGATCAATGTAGAATCGCGTGTCCGTTTTAATTTTTTTTTTTACGTCAACATAACGCGTAACGAAAAGGTACAAATCATTTTTTCAATTGAATTGAATTTATCGATTTAATTTTACGATATCATTTATATCATTTATCTTTTCATGAATTCAAAGTGAGATATTAAAAATGAAAATTTCGAGACACGTGAACTGCTTCAAAAATGTTACTCTTATTTTGATGAAAAATGTAATTTTTATTTACAGGTTAGGTTTCATTATATCCCGATCGATTTCTATAAACGATCATTCATTGAAGTGTCACTAGAAAAGTGTATATATATATATATTAATGTGAAAATAATAGGAACTGTAGAAAATTAGAAAATAAATTTTCTTTATTTCTATATTTCACTTTACCAGGTTTACACAGAAAAGTATTGTTCTTTACTAATCTATAATAGTTTCTCAAATATAGAAATAGAGATGTATTCGATTGCACTTCATTGATATTTTTTCAATCACTGTTTGTATTTTTAAATTTAGCATCTTTCCAGCAAGCTTATTACTTATCTTGAATATTTGCACCAGTTTCGAATCAACGAAATTATCGCTATGATTAACAGTTAACATAACCTGAATTCAGTATGCCTCCGATCTTCAAAACATTTCTTCCATTCATCGCTTAACCTAAAAACCACATAGAGAAAACATATCGTTCCTTTTTTTCACATCGAAAACAAAAGATCTCGCAAAAAGTGTGAAATAATCCATTTACACTTACATTTAAATTCGTTACAATTAAATTAAAAAGAAGGATTAAGCATTAAGTTGGCCAAAATTGAGACAAATTTAATCCACAATTCTATCTCACAATTCTTCTGCGAACAAAGGATCTGAAAATATCGGATTTATATTTGAGATATTACGTCACTTTCCATTTTACAATACTTATACGTACCACCTAATCACCACTATGTTACGTGTTATTATCATCATCGATCGACGTCCCCTTTTCCGCTTATGCATACGTATATCGAAGAAGGGCGTAAGTGACGAGCTGCTAGAAACTATATTGCCGGATGCGTATGCGCGCATAATCTTGCCTGTTGACACAGTTAGAATTCTGGTTTACTGGGTCGTTCAGGTTAACATTTATCGTGTTTTTTTTTTTTTCTTCTCTTCAAAAGGGGGAAAAAAGTATATTGGCTATGATCAAGATTCAGAATTTTGCAAGAATTACTCACTTCGTTTCGATAAGGAATATTATACCTCATGGAAACCGGTTTCGTCTATGTACAAAACTATTGTCTTACGGATAATAATTATTATATTATTGTCATACTATTTGATCGATCCATCATAAATTGATACCTTGTCAAACCTAACGATAATTTCAATAATCGATATTTTGCAATAATTATTTTTAACAATTTATCAAAACATTTTTTCTCTTATCTATGTTAGAAAACTTGAAATAACTTAACAAGCGGAAAATTTTGCATAAAGTTGGATCATGAAAGGAAAAAAACGTTATCGATACAATACTTTGCGAAAAGAGTCATCTTTTAATTCTCGAACTGCGCTGGTTCCACTCGAACTGGACTGGACGAGATCCCTCAGGTATTTCTCAGCCGGAAAGAAACATCTTCATGCGAACGTGTACAGTTCTAGCTCTATGTATATTCCAGTTGGATGCAACCGGTTTCGTTTACGACCCTAAAAAACTACGGAGGATTAAATTAAAGCCTCGTCTTTCTGTAATCATCGACGGACTTAAGTCACCCTGGTTCCAGACCAGACTAGGAAAAAAGGAATTGGCTCTCTCTTCGTTGTGAGACGATCCTCGGCTACGCTTTGCACACTTTGGTTTGCTATAATTGCTGTACAACCAATATCTCCCCTGCGATTATTACGTTTTGAAAATAAACACACCACAACAAACAATATCAGTTTAGCATTTATATTACCGACGTATGAATGCCTGACGACAGTCGTACAAATCGCTCTTTCTCAACAGATAGCGAGTGAATGGTGGTATGCATATTGATATTATTCATTGTGGGTGGTGGATGTATGACTTATTACATATGCCTATTATATTTGCATATAAATTCGATAATCGTAATTTTCGTTAGTTAAATACATCGTGCATTTTATATTTTTAAAGTTTATATATATATATATATATATATTTTTATCTCACAGTAATGGTATATTATATTTAGCACTGCGATTTTATTAGTATCGGTAGTAAAAAAAATCTAATCGAAATAACGGACTATGAACTGGGTCATCGAGTATTCCAGTTCACGTCGATACGCTTGCACGAGCCATTGACCCAACGAAAACCAATTAATCTCGTAAACGATCGAATTTATCGACCCGATACTGTAATGAATAAAACCCAACGCGAGCTTGACACACACAAGCGTTGTCGAAGCTGGCTTTATTGCCAGAGATACGTTACACGCGTTGATTTGTGATAATGAAAACGCGAGGTGCAGATATTTCATTAATCAATCGATGAAGTTACAACTTTCAGTTTTCCGTTCACTCGCGGGCGAATAAAATAAAATAAAAAACAAATCAATTTTGATTGGATTTAAGCGAATTTTAATAAAAAAAACACCCGCGATCCGAAAACGCTCGATAAAGTAGATTTGGCTAGAGAATTGGAAGAAGAACGAGGTGAAAATGTGGGTCTGCGGGTCGTCGAATACCCGATGACTTCCATCGAAGTCTGAATCACGAGTAACGCTTTGCCAATTCTCTTCTTCTTCGCGATCCGCGAAGTATTTTCCGGTCGTTGACCGTCGCCGACAGTAAACGACCCTCGAGGTCTTCTGGACGGGGAGCGCAATGAGGAAAAACTGGGCGAACAAGGGGCGAACAAGTAAAAACTCACTCCGACCGGTGAAATAATCAGAGCCTCGGTTTCTCTTTCGATCTCCTTCGAAAACGATGCATCGAAATTTTCGTTCCGCTCGCGGCACACGCGACTAGTCGATTAATTTCTTTCACGAAAATTAATTCCTCGAAATCGAGTTGTAAGTTGAGAAATACTGATTACATAGATCAAAACGTTGCGTATCTTTATTTCTTTCTTCAAGTTCGACGAACTCTCGCTCGAGAAGTTGAAAAGATGATTGGATAACGTGGACAAACCGAATCGCATATTTACAACGCTCAAAATCTATTGCCTAGTGACACTATGGTTTGACTCGGTTTCGGCGCAGAATCCGTTCCGCACGCGCGCATGCTCGTTCCTCCTGCTGACAGGCTTGGAAAAATAGAGAAAAGAATCGAAACTTTACCGTTATGTTCACCCAACTCGCGCCATAATTACAGCATGGAGTTTGCTACTTGCGGGAGAGGAAAGTGTATGTGTGTAGGAAAACGTGTACACGCTTCAACGGCAAATCTTTTAAGCTTTTTTTACACGTGTAATTAGTCGAAATCGAGTCATGCTCCATGAGAGATGTTCGACCAGTAATTATATAGATGACAATTTGCTCTTGTGACAATTATTATCTTCGTGCGAATACGCAGTGCATAGTATTAGGTTAGATTTCAAGTAATCATTTGCCTGTTGATTTCACTCTTTCGAACCAGTGACTGATGAAATGGATGATAATAAGTGTTTAATAAGATGCGATGAAATGCAAGTTACGTTTTTTAATATTAGAATTGCTTGATTCGATAACTTTTCGTTTTTATTGCAGAACAAATGTATGCTTAAACATCTCGTGCAGCATGTATATATATATATATACTTAAGTTCAGGTGTGCATCAAGATTCACGGAGAAGTACTTTCATCCAAGTTTTATTAACAAGAGTCGATGCAAGAAGTAATTAAACCGGTCTTGTGTACTTTATCGCGAATTATATTAGTAATAGCGATCGAGTCGCTATCTTACAGCCATTAAGAGGTATGTAGCTATATGTAATTCATTCTTCGATTTAAAAATCATTCTATATCTGCTTTATAGTTCAACTTGTTTAATCGAGTAGCAAAACTAATTCTATATTTCTATTTTTTTTCAATTTGATTCTCGTAGAGAATGGCAATATCCTTCAAGGTCAATATAAATACGAATCAAACATTTCACGAATGATCGATTACCTTATTATCGTATATATGGATGAGTATTTTCTTCTTTTCTTTTTTTCTTTTTTTTTTTTTTTTTTTCGTAGGTTGCAAGAATTAATAGACTCAGGCGCATTAAGCCTATGTGCAATGTACACTGCATGTAAAATGATTCTCGTTAACGCGTTGCGGTTCTCCCCTTTTAACGATGAACATCAATCACGGATGAAACCTGCGATTATTTCCTGGAAATCGCTTGCCTTCGAATAGGAATTCAATGAATCCTTAGCTTTTATTAAAAAACGAAACCTGTTTATTTATTTTTCTTGTTTATTCGGTGCTCGATACATGTTAGTCAAACGGATCGAAATCGAAGTGGCGAAATTTGTTACAAATTTGTTACAAATTAATGTCGCTTTCGTTGAATTTAAATTTTCGAGTATTTTGGGCAGCATGTAACGTGGAATATCTTTGTTTTTCTTATATTCCATTAGATATGTATTTATATGTATCCCCTGAAAAAATGATAATGATTATATATTATATTATTATTTAATTCTTATTTTTTTTTTTTTTTTTGGAATTTCATTATACGTATTCTTTTACTATAATTCTCAATTACTATAATCATAATATCTTACATATAGAAATAATTAAAATTTTTTACCATTTGCCAGTTCCTGCTTGTGCGTTTGCATTTGCCGATGCCGAAGCATATGAATTTCCGCCACTGAAATCACATAACAGGATAGATATTATTGCAAATACATTAAATTAATATTACAGAAAATTATCATTATATTAGAAAATAATATTTTTATTAGAAAATAAATGTTCTTTTAATCCGAATAAATAAATACTTATCCTGGAGATTTTTTATTCTAAATTGTAAAGAAGAAAATTTTGGAATCATACCATGTGCTGCAACCACCACCTCCGGATGGATATCCACCACCTCCAGATGGATATCCACCACCCCCGGATGGATATCCACCACCTCCGGATGGATATCCACCACCTGCAACGGGTACAATAACAACTGGTATAACATCTATTCTTGAATACCCTACAAAAAATTACCTTTAATCAGCGTTAGAAGCAGAAGCGACGCGTTGTTGTTACATATTTATTATATTTAAATGCATTTGATCCCTTTTTTTTTTTAAAAGCTTGAGAATGTTATACGCGATGCATTTTTTTATTAATTGCAAGCGCTAAAAAATTAAAATATCGGCAATGCATATGCAATAAAAATTCGCTAGATGACGCCTCGAATAATCAAGCTTTCGAATAATTAAAATTAAATGAAAGCAAAAAAAAAAATAATAAATTTATTTTTCAAATTCTATCGTACCTGGATAACCTCCTCCACCGTGTCCGCCAGGATGACCACCTCCTCCACCAGGATAATAGCCGCCACCACCCGGATAAACACCTCCTCCACCAGGATAACCACCACCACAACTACCACTTGCACATCCCGGTTTGCCTCCTCCACCACCGTATCCACCACCGAATCCACCACCATATCCTCCACCTCCACACTTGAGACAAAGTGTTCTCTTATTGCGGATTTTCTTCAATTTTTCCAATTTCGATTTCGAGGGAAATATGTCTTCTCCTTCCTCCTTAGAGAGCTTCACCCTTAATATTGCCGTTTCACCGCCATAATTGAGTTTCTCCAAATTGAAACCCTGCTCCTTGTTCAAATCTTCCGCAAGCTCATCGAGATCCACCGATTCATTCGTATCTTCGTCGTTCTCGTCGACCTGGATGACTAGAAGCAGTGTCGCCAACGGATCTATTTCAAATTAAATTAAAATCAAAGATGTCCCTTTTAGCCCATTTCTTCCTGTCGATAAACTTATTATGAAAAAGAAATATGCTTTCAATTACCTGTTAAGTCCGGGACATGTTGAAGAAGATCGTTTTCCAAAACTTCATCGGACGTTTCACCGCTAATATTTTTCAAGCCAAAAAGATTTATAACGAACAGCAGGTAGTGCTCTCCTTCCTTTTGCGGGTAAGGAGGAGGCTTGAGCTCCGTCGATAATGTAGTATTCTCCGCATCTTCTAGAAATTTTAACGTCAAATCAACGTTTATTGATATCGTATTCGAATCGAGAAATGAGAAAAATTCTTCTAACAAGATTAAATTTTGATCGAAACAAAATCATTCAACTAATAACGATTTATAAGCAAAACGTTATGTGTGTTTTCTTTTTATTTTTTATTAAAAAAAAAAAAAAAAAAANAANANATATATTATTATTATTATTATTATTATTATT